AGGGCATGCCCACCCGGGTCATGCAGCCTCTCACTGCCCTTCTCGGGGTCTCTTCCCACGGTGTCTGCCCAGCTGCCCCCGTGGCCCCGGGAATGAGGGGGTGTCTGCCCCTGCTGAGGCTCGCACCCCCTAGCCCGCCAGCGCACAAGGGTGTCTGGCCCAGCGTGGGCGCCTACGTGGCCTCAGCGCTGTGCCTGGCCCCGGTGAGCGGCAGTCTCTGGTGGCCTCCGCGAGGGGCTCTGAGTCCAGTCCTCCCCACCACCCAGCCCAAGCGCGGCTGCACCAGCGGCTCCCGGGCCCCACGCGGGCCGCCCTGGAGGCGGCGGCCGACCCCGCCCTGACCACGGACTTCAAGACTATCTTGGACTGACCGTCAGTCCTGCCCGCAGCTGAGGGTGAGCTCCGGAGCCCATGGGTGAGGCCTGCTCCACGGCAAAGCCTGGGCCCCCCCGAGAACCTTGGAGCGGGGGGCCGGCCCCCACGTCCTGAAGGGAGCGGGGCCGGTGCCCTGTGGCCCTCCAGAGACCATCCATCTCCAGCGGCTGACCGCCAGGCCCGGCAACACGCGGGAGAACCTGGCGGGGTAGCTGGGCGTCAGAACAGGAAGTTGGGGGGTCTGCCCCCTGCCCTGGAGCGAGGACACACGTTTGTCCAGCGGTGCGGGGGGGCACTTGGAGGCCGAGTGGGCCCTGCCTGCCACTGACTGCACCTGCGCCCCGCCCGGCGCTCAGTCCACGCCTGCCCCCCTCCACCCCCCGCTGAGCTCGAAGTCCAGCCTGCTGGGCCTTCCCCGCAGTCAGCTGCTGGGGGCCCCACCCTCACCCCTGGTCTCACCGCCCCCCCCGCCCCGTGCCGCCTGCCCCCCTTACCTCTGTGGGCAGCTGGTCCCCGCTCAGCACCGTGCTGGGATCGTCTGCGCCTCCTCCTGCCCCCCACTGGCCCCAAGTCACCGCAGCACCGGAAGCCAGCGAGCCTCCGCCTGTCGTCTCCACCGTTTGCCGTTTTTCTCTGGATGTTTGTGTTAAAAGGCTTATCCGTCAGTACTGGGTTCTGTGGTTATAAAAATGCACACCCGCTGGGGTGTCTGATGCTCCTGGGTCCCTGGCCTGGCAGGAGTCCGAGGGGGCCTCTTGGGGGCGGGAGGTGGCAGGAGGGGCCGGGGACCCGGAGAGGATGCCCCTGTGGGGCCAGCCCAGCGCCCACACTGCCTGCAGCGGCCCTGGCCGTGCACTGGGCACGCTCGGGAGACAGCGGACCCGGAGACCCCACGGTCTAGGACCCCCGACCCCACCCGTCCCTTCACAGCGGGCCCCGGGCGCATCGTCTCCCCAGAGGGCCCGTGGAGTAGACGGCGCGGGCCGCGGACACGGGGTCCAGCCGTGGGCCTGGCCCTCCCCCAGGTGTCTGTCCCCTCACCGGTCCCCACGAGCTGGACCCGGGCAGGCGGACGGGCTCGGCGGCAGCCCCCGTGTGTCCGCACAGGCTCCCCTCCCCCCTTGTCACCCGGGTGTTCTGACCGCCGGGGGCTCCTTTGCTCACGTGCCGTCCTGTCCGCTGAGCTGGACTCGGGCGGAGCGCCTGCGGAGAAGCAGGCCAGGCCTGGGGCGGGGCACGCAGAGGTGGCGGCTCCTTAGTTGGGGCTGCTTGGGTGCCTGCGAGCGAGACCTCTGGGGTCACACGGGCTCCAGGCCAAGGGCTGTGCTTTGGGGGCCACATGGAGGGCTTGGGGCAAACAGGTGGCCCTGAGGTTGTGAAGAGGTGCGGCACGCCCCTGATCCAGTCGTGGCCAGCTGTCCCAGGGAGATTGTCCTGGGAAGGCTGGGGCTCAGGCACAGGGCGGGTTTCAGCCCGAGCCCTCTGGTTGTGTTGGGGGCTGAACCACCCAAGTGCTGGGTCCCTGGTCTGGGAGGGTTGGTGAACCACACAGGTGCCCCTGCCCCAGTCTCTGGCTCAGCAGGTCTGGGAGTGTGAATCTTGAAGTCCCACATGCTGCTGAGGCTGCCCTGAGGGGTGGGGAGGTTGGAGGCTGCCCTGGGGGCAGAGCAGACAGTGGCTGTGGGGCCAGGGTCAGGGTCAGGATCAGGGTCAGGATGCTGGAGGTGGGTCGGGGGAGGTGGTGGGCGTGCGGCTCAGCCAGCAGGAAGAGGGCTGTGAGGTTATCGAGGGGCTTATGTGAGAGCGGGGGTCCCCACCTCAGCCCCCTGTTTGAGGCCTCCGTGTCCCCCCAGGCCCAGGTCTGTGGGGCACCCACACCCCGCCACCCCTTGGAGGATCCATCGTTGGGAGCTGCCGTTGCTCATCAGGACAGTGGGCCTGGCCTGACCTGCTCTGTCCTCGTGCTTAGGCCCCTGCGGGCATGGGAACAGGAGGGGCAGCTCAGGGTGCCGCCTGGGGCGGCTGGCCACCCTGTGCCCGGCACAAGCTCCAGAGGCATTTTGAAGACAGTGACGGGTTCCCGAGGCTTCCTTCCGGGGTGCCACTGACAGGACCGTACACTGAGGCAGACGCTGTCAAGTGTACCTCAGGCAGGGTCATGGGAGCCGCCCACTTCCGCTGAGTGCAGGTGCCCGGCGCCGGCCGGCCGGGTTGATGGCTGTTGCCTGGTAATTGCCACTGCGTCCGAGTGACTGGACTGGTGCATTCGTTTATGATGGACCCAAGTCCACCAAGCACATCGTCAACAGTGAGGGGCAGGCCCCACGCGCCGCGTACCAGCCTGGAGGTGCCCCCTCTGGGGGGGCCTGGCTCGCTCAGGGCGCCAGGTGCTTCGGGCAGCGGGAGGTGACCAGGACCCCTCAGCTGCGTCCCGCTGACCCCCACCAGCCCCTGCAGGCTCCCTGCGCCCCAGACCTCTTTCTGGCATTTCCATAAAGGCCAGTCATCACTTAGCTTTCCAGTGTCCACATGCCTCTAAAACTGTCTACTAAATGCATTTTGTCCCAATTTTACTCAAAATCACTTGTATTTTTCCTGAAGTGTAAAACCCTTGGAAAGGGCCTATGTTCTGGTTGGGCTCAACTAAGACCTCACTCTGATATATCATTTTTAAAACTGCCATGCAGCTTCTCAGGGTGGAACATGAAAATGATAGAATTCTGAGAAACAAAAAAAAGTCTAGTTTTTCAGGCTTCCCTAGATCTAAATGGGCTTCCTGGTGGCTCAGCTGGTGAAGAATCTACCTGCAGCGTGGGAGGCCTGGGTTCGATCCCTGTGTTGGAAGGTCCCCTGGAGAAGGGAATGGCTACCCACTCCAGTGTGCTTGTCTGGAGAATCCCGTGGACAGAGGGGCCTGGCGGGACTGAGCGACTTTCACTCCACCAGCTCTAAACTGCATGTGACGCAGACCCCTAGGAGCCCCCACCTCTGTGCCGCCAAAAGTCACGGCGAGGGGGGAGTGAGGAGGGGGCGAGAGGGAAGGCAGGGCACACACCACGCCCTGGGGGCCCCCAGCCCCACATGCCTGCCCCCCTCCCTGTCGTAACCCTGGAATGTGCTGGCACCTGGCCCTGGGAGGCTCACTTGTGAAGCTCAGTGTGGGGCAGAGGGCTTCCCAAACCCCACAGCTCAGAGTTCTTTGGGTGCTGTTGGGAGGCAAGGTGGTGACCCCCAAACATGCCCAGGGACCTGGACATCTGAACCCCAGAACCCAAGAGCCCCTCCCGGACATGGTGGAGGGGTATTAGAGTGCCGGGGGATTAGGATTAGTGATCATCAGCTGGCCTCGTGGTGGGACGTGATCCAGACCCGCCTCATGGGTGGGCTAGTGTGAGCCTGGGGTCCCTACACATGGAGGACATAGGCTGAGGCAGACGGCTGTGTTGGTGCTTCTCTGAAAGGGGGGGCCCTGAGTCACCAAGGGCAGCATGGGGTGAAATGCAGGCCCGCCCACCCCACGCGGCTTAGGGCTCACTCCGGGGCAAGCTTGCGCTGACCCAGCTTTAATACCCACTCCCCTTAGGCGGGCAGCAGTGACCAGCCCTGTTTACGGGGTCCGAGGGCCCCAGCGCCATGCTGGCCTCCTGCGGGGCCATGTCTGCGGGCCTCCTTCAGCACCATGGACAGCGCTTGCCTGCCTGGGGCTGGGCGCAGAGGGATGTTCTCCCAGCGCGAGGCAGAGGACAGGCAGGGTCTCCAGAAGCTCAGCTGTGTGTCCAGGGCCCCTCAGGACCGTCCCTGGCTGGTGTGGGAGGGCCAGAGCGCAGGGGGGCGGGTGGAGGCGAGCGGGCCCTGGAAAGGGCAGGTCTTGTCTGAGGCTGCTGGGAGCAGGGCTTGGTGCAGGGAGGGACCCACGCGCGGGGAGGAGGCTGGCCTTCCTCCCCTGGAGAGAATGGAGACCTGCATGACGATCGGCCTTCCCTTCTCTCCTTGACTTGAAAATCTCGGAAGAATAAAGGGCAGGGCTTCTGGGCTAACTAAGCCTGCGAAGAGCCAGCCTCGCGGATAGCATGTCGATGCTCCAGCTCCCCCGCTTTCACGAGGGTGGCCCGTGCTTCTGGGACGATTCTCTCTGCACCAGGTGCCCCAATGTCCGCATCATGCACACCCAGGACAGACCCTCCCCGGGGCCAGGGCTCGGGTACGCAGCGATGCTTCCGTGGGGCCGGGCCTCCATCCCGGCCCTGCATCTGTCCCTGCAGTGGCCCTGCCTCAGGCTGTCCATCCGGTATGGGGCGCGGGTGGGCCTTCCCCCACACCCCTCCCGCTACCACCGGCCGGGCCGTCGGGACCCCCGCCGTTCTGCCCGTGGACACGGTACACGGCCTCCCCGAGGGCCCCACGCAGGAGCGCTGGCCACAGGGCCCAGGAGGTGGGCAGCGGACTTGGCCCGTTAGGAGAGGAGCAGGGACTGTGATGTGGGAGCTGGGCAGTGCCGTAAGCAGGTCCGGCGGGCGCAACAGTGTCGGGAACGACGACCACGGGCTGTCGGGGCCGAGCACACGTGTATTGGTACCGACCCGGCTGCGGCACAGGCAGGCCTCCCCGCCACCCCGGCCCCGTGCTCAGCAGGCCCTGCTGCCCCGCGGCTTCGGGCCTCCGTCCTGCGGCGGGTTCCGCGTCTTCTCTCTGCACCGGGCGAGCAGCTGGCCCAGCGCCACCACCGGGACCCACAGGGTGGGCAGGAAGGACAGGAGCGCACAGGCGGCCAGCACCCAGCTGGGGTAGGGCTTCCCCTGCCGCGAGGGGAACTGCTCCTGCAGGACACATGGCCTGACTGAGGGGGGGCGTCTGGGAAGCAGGCAGGTTGCCCCACATGTGTTCCCTGCATGGAGGAGGCTGGCCCTCAGCCACAGGGGCCGTAAGCGTGGGGGGCAGCCTCAGCCCGTCTCCTCTGTCGGAGCCCCCAGGGTGGGTGGTGGGAAAGGCATGTGGACAGGGCCACTCCCTGGCAGTGGGCTTCTGGGCAACTGAAGTTTTGGGTACTTGGCCGGCCAAGCCACCCATGGGGTTAGGCTCCGGGGGGCAGGCCGGGGACCTGGGGTGTCGCGTTCTGGAGAGAGCTGCCCTGGACCATCGAGGGCCACACGGTCCTGGGGCTGCCTGGGGCTGACCGCTGGGTCCAGTCAGACTGTGTGCCCCCTCCGTGGCCGGAGCACCACCTGCCCGAGCTCAGGCCCCGCGCTGAGCCCCCAGAAGATGGCGCCATTCCTCCTACGCCCGCCTGGCCGTGTGGGGCGGCTGCTCTCTGGGGAGACTTTAGAGCCGGCTGCGTGCACACCCTGGAGGAGGGGCAGCTCTGAGCTGGCAGATGGGACAGGCTGGCGGAGCTCATGGGCTCAGCTCACAGCCTGGGGCCGAGAGCTGGCTCCAGAGTCCAGGCCACGCCCTGCGCTCTGGGTGGCTCAGTGGCGGAGTCCCACCCGAGACCGGCGGGGTGTCTGCGGAGCCGGCCCCACGGCACGTGGGGAGTGTGGCCTGAAGCCACATCCCCGGGAGAGGGGCTGCAGGGACCCGCGGGGTCACCAGAGCGTGGAACCTGTTCCTCTCCTGACACTGACCAAGGCCCTCGCCCAAGGTCAGCCCCAAGGTCAGAGGAGCGCTCTGGAGAGAGCTGCCCTGGACCGTCTGGGGGCCGCATGGTCCTGGGGCTGCCTGAGGCTGACCCCGGGGCACCGATGTCCACTGTGACTGTCCTCTGGGTGTGGCAGGCACTGGGGGTGTCAGGCTGGGGCCTGGGGCCCTGGGCCGTCCCCCCACCCAAAGGACTTACGTATTGGGGGTTCCAGGCCTTGTAGCCCGGCAGCGAGCTGGCCAGGAGGGCAACGTAGGCCACGAAGATGGTCAGCAGCAGCAGGGGGCTCACCACCTTCCAGGTCACCCGCCAGTAGAAGCCAGGCCGCCTCCCGGTCATCCAGGCTATGTCATCACAGAGCCTGCCGCAGAGACGCTGAGCTCAGGCCGGCAGCCTCCGTCCCGTCGCCAGGCTGTGGCCCATGGGACTGTCCTGCCTCCACTCTGACCTCGGTCCCCATCTTCCCGAGTGGCCCCTGGACGAGGCGGCGGCCTTGGGTTCTGGTGAGGACTCGCCCTGCCCCCAGGTCATGGCCTGAGGGGGTGGGCCCAGCCCAGGGAGTGGCAGGACCTGTGGTCTGGCCCTGGTCAGGGGGCTCCAGCTTGGTGAGCGCAGGGAAGCCCCCACCAGCTGTGGGGGACACGACGCCTGACTTGGGTCCCAGAACGGGGACAGAGGCCCAGGACACACAGCAGCCGCCGCGCACACAGGAGGGAGTTTCTGCTGCTCAGGACCCCTCCCCAGGGCCGCCTGCCTGTCCACGGCCCCCCAGCTCTCCTCCTCAGGGCGCCTGAGGGGCCCCTTCTGAGACCTCGTGGCCTGCCGAGTCCAGGGGCGCCCTGTCCCCCACACACTGCTGGATCTGCCTCTTACTCCCAGCGCTCGAGGTGGCCGTGTCCCCCTGGGGACTAGCCCGCTGTCCCTCTGCCCACAGAGCAGCATGGAGGCCAGCATTCAGGGCCTCCCAGGAGCTCTTAGAACACAAGGTCAGGGGTCACAACCTCTAGGGTCCCCATCTGGGCAGGGTGACAGATGTGAGTGCAAGTGTGTGTGTGTGCATGTGTGAGTGACAGGTGTGACAGATGTGAGAGCAGCTAAGAGAGACAGGTGTGGGTACAAGTGTGAGTGCAGGTGTGAGTATGGTTGTGCCTCGGTCCTGGGCCAGGTGAGGGTGCTAGAATGTCGCTGGGCCTCCTCGCAGGCCTCCAGGAGAGGTTGACTCTTGGCGCTGTGGGCAGGCCATCCTGCCCTGGGGTCTACCTGTCCTGGGACACCAGGAGCTCCCACGCATGGCTGGAGACCGCTCTTTAGTCACGGGCCTCCGCACAGCCAGGCGGTGGTGCCAAGCGGTGCCTGAGGACAGTTCCGCTGGGGTGTGTCACCACTCAGGTGGCCTGTGTCACCCACCGCTGCCCAAGGCCCACGCGGGGACCGGGAGACGCCAGGAGCAGAGGGCCAGGCCGGGTGGCTGACTTACCGCTTCATCCCATAAACGTAAACGACCCCAACCACCTCAAAGAACGCCAGGAGGATCAGGTTCAGGGCCACGGCGTACTGGTCGAAGATCTCCAGCCAGTAGCTCCCCGACCGCAGCGTGAAGCAGGAGGACGTGAGGAAGCAGAGCAGGCAGACCAGGCCTGCACACGACCCGTCAGGCGTTTCCAGTGGCCCCCGTGTGTCCGGCACCCCCGCTAGAGGACACCCTCGGGGGCCGTGCAGACGCAGTGCCCCGCCCGCCCTCCCTGGCCCTCGGGGTCGGCCTGAACTGCGGGGACCCTCGGGGGCCGTGCAGACGCAGTGCCCCGCCCGCCCTCCCTGNCCCCGGGACACACATGTGTACCAGCATGCCCCCAGGACAAACACATGTGTCAGCATGCCCCCCCCGGGACACACGTGTGTACCAGCATGCCCCCGAGACACACATGTGTCAGCACGCCCCCCCAGGACACACGTGTGTACCAGCATGCCCCAGGACACACACGTGTGTCAGCACACCCCCCCGGGACACACATGTGTACCAGCATGCCCCCAGGACAAACACATGTGTCAGCATGCCCCCCCCGGGACACACGTGTGTACCAGCATGCCCCCGAGACACACATGTGTCAGCACGCCCCCCCAGGACACACGTGTGTACCAGCATGCCCCAGGACACACACGTGTGTCAGCACACCCCCCCGGGACACACATGTGTACCAGCATGCCCCCAGGACAAACACATGTGTCAGCATGCCCCCCCCGGGACACACGTGTGTACCAGCATGCCCCCGAGACACACATGTGTCAGCACGCCCCCCCAGGACACACGTGTGTACCAGCATGCCCCAGGACACACACGTGTGTCAGCACACCCCCCCGGGACACACATGTGTACCAGCATGCCCCCAGGACAAACACATGTGTCAGCATGCCCCCCCCGGGACACACGTGTGTACCAGCATGCCCCCGAGACACACACGTGTCAGCACGCCCCCCTGGGACACACGTGTGTACCAGCATGCCCCCAGGACACATACGTGTCAGCACACACCCCCTGCGACACACGTGTGTACCAGCATGCCCCCGGGACACACACATGTGTCAGCACGCCCCCCCAGGACACACGTGTGTACCAGCATGTCCCAGGACACACACATGTGTCAGCATGCCCCCGGGACACATGCACGTGTCAGCACGCCCCCAGGACACATACATGTGTCAGCACGCCCTCCGGGACACATGTGTGTACCAGCATGCCCCCGGAATACACATGTGTCAGCACGCCCCCGGGGACACATGCATGTGTCAGCACGCCCCCTGGGGGGACACATGTGTGTCAGCATGCCCCCCCAACACACGCATGTGCCAGCATGCCCCTGGGACACGTGTGTGTCCGCACGCCCGCCTACTGGGACACACACGTGTGCCAGCACCCTAACCCAGCCAGGACATGTGTGTGCCAATACACACCCCTCGCTGGGACACACGTGTGTAACAGCATGCCGCCCGGGACACACGTGTGTGCCAACATGCCCCTCCTTGGGACACGTGTGCCAACATGCCCCGCCACCGGGACACACGTGTGCACTAGCACCCCAGCCCAGCCAGGACACATGTGTGTGCCAACACACTGCCCTGCCAGGGCACACGTGTGCTCCAGCACCCCCCACACACACATAGGGTCAGATGTGTGCACCAGCACGCCCCCTGCCAGGACACACACGTGTGCCAGCACAGGCCACGCCAGGATGCACACCCACCCACACGCTCCCTGCGGGAAGGCCAGGGCGCCCTCCTGGGTGAGGGTGAGGTGGCCCCGCCCCATCTGGGCCGTGTTACCACAAACTGTGGGTGCACCTCCATGGGAGGGGCCCTGTCCCCTAAATCACCCGCGCTGGGGCACACGCCCCCGGCCCGGGGCTCAGGAGCCCATCCAACAGCTGCCCGCAGGGCGCTGCCCACCCCTGGCCACTGTCCCTGCCCCACGTCGGCCAGCTGAGGCCTGGCTGCCCTCTCTGGGTTCTGGGCAGCCCCAAGGCCCACTCTCCCTGCCCGGACCCTGCCTGCAGAGCAGGGCCTGTCAGAGGCGCTGCGTTTGGGCCACGGGGCTCACCCCGGCCCCGGATCAACGCCTGCAGCCACCCGCGGCCCCGCCACAGCCCCTGCGTACCTTGTCCAGGAAGTCCTCCAGGCGGCAGGCCTCCAGGGGGAGCCCGGCCACCCGCGCCGGCTGCGAGACGTTCAGACGCGCCAGGGCCGCCGCGTAGTCGTCCCTGGAGATGCTCTGCTCGGGCAGGTCGAAGGCGTTGATGAGGCGGAGGATGTTTCTGCGGGGGCGGGGAGGCGGGTGAGCAGACCCTGGAGGGGCGGGCTCTGGGGGGGCGCCTGGGGCCCCTGCACACGTTGGGGACACAGGCCTCCCCGGAGCTGGGGCGCGAATGGGCCACGCCGCCTCCTGCCCCTGGCCTGCGGCTCTGACCACCCAGCAGGTTGGTCTCGAGCGCCTCACACCACGTCCGTCTCAGGGCTCGCGGCTCAGACACCGTGGGGGCGTTCTGTGTTGGCCAATCCTGCTTGTCACCTCACCCTGCAGAGCCCCAAAGCCTTTTGCAGAGGTGTCTGGGGTGGCTGACGCGCCCATTCCTGCCAGGCCCCTGGGACGCCCTGCCCCCAGACCATGGACGAGTCTCTCAGAGGCTGCCCGGGGCCGTGGCCTTCTCAGTGTGTGTGCGTTCCGTCTGGGATTTTGCGGTGTTGGGGCTGTTTAGTGACCCCGATGCAGTGAGAAGGCGGTGACGCCGCCCGAGGTGCGGCCGTGGGGGAGCCCGGTGCTAGCTGGTCTGCAGTTTTGTTCGCTGGGCATCTGGGGAGAGTGGCGGGAAGAGCTGGCCTGCAGGGCGCTCACTGCTCCCTGGGCACGGCCACTGTGGCCTCTCGGGGTCCTTGAGCCGCACATGCGCTCCCTGTGACGGGTGTGGGCCGCTTCCCTCCCTCCCCCGCGTGGCCGGGGGGTCATGGCAGGCACCCCCCTGTGGCCTGCCGACACTGCCGACGAGGCCATCGTCCACGAGCTGCCCTGGATGTCCAGCCGCACGCGGAGGGCGGGCTTGTGCCCCTCTGGTGGGTCTTGCCCGGGAACCCGCGTCGGGAGGCCGCTGGGCCATCAGTCCCACGCAGTCACTTCCCCTGTGGGGCCGTCCTCACTGAGCCAGCTCCTGGACTGTGGTGAGAAATGACCGCAGCCTGGGCGACCGGAAGCCACAGGACGTGTGACCTCCTAGGTCTGGAGCAGGGAGTCCAAGACGAGGCGTGGGCAGGGCTGCTGTCCCCCCAGAGGGCCGAGGGGAGGGGCCCCGGGTGTGCCTGCGCTTGTGGCCACCTCCCTGCAACCCCCGCGTCCTCCTCCGTGTCTGCGTGCGCCCCCCTCTCCCGTCAGGACACCGGCCGTCGGATGCGGGCCCACAACATCCACAGCTCCCTCATTGGAACCGGTCTTCTCGGCCGAGACCCGACCTCCAGCTCAGGTCCTGCCCCCCGTTCCAGGCAGACCCCCCCACCCTGACTCCTCAGCGCCCGAGGGCCCCACTCACCGGTCCAGGCACTGCCCATGGTCGCTGGCCGCCTTGAACCCCAAGACAGAGAAGACGGCGATGGAAGCGTAGAGGGACGTCATGCTGTTCACCAGCGCCACGCTCACCGCGTCCCTCCTGCAGTTGTTTCTGTGCAGACGTGCGCAGCCTTAGGGCCCCGGGGCAGGACCCCTGGGGCAGGGCTCGGCCCGATCTCAGAGCCCTCCCCACGACCCCCGCCCGGGACCCCTGCCCAAGGCTGCTGCTGGCGCCAACACTCAGGGCCCGTCCCCCCTGGGGCCCTGGGGCGGGAGCGAGCCGGGGGCCCCGGGTGTGGGAGCGAGCCGGGGGCCCCGGGTGTGGGAGCGAGCCGGGGGCCCCGGGGGCGGGAGCGAGCCCGGGGCCGTGGGGCGGGAGCGAGCCGGGGGCCCTGGGTGTGGGAGCGAGCCGGGGCCCTGGGTGGGGGTGCGTGGCCCCCAGATGAGGCACGGACGGGCAACAGCCAAGGCGGAGCACAGCAGGAGCGGCCGCTGGAGGCCCCGGGCCCCGCCCCCCTCCTGCCCCCACGGACCCGCGCAGAGCCTGCTTTCACTGCATCATCGCTCACGCCGTGTGTTTTATGACCCACGGTCGTGCTCGGGCGTCGTAAGGAGGCAGACACCCAGGTCTATTTTAACTGTCCGGGCGGCTGACACAGGCTGTATTTCTGCTTTTATGGCCGTGTGTGTCACACGGGCAGCCCCCGGTTATGGCCTTGTTCCTGGCTTTGATGACCCCAGTTCCCTTCCGGCAGCTGCTCCAGAACTTGCGGCAAGCTGCTTCAGAGGGCCACAGCCTCCCGGCCCTCGGGGTGACTCAGTGACTGCCGGAACCCCGAGCACTTGGGCTCATCAGCGGCTCACACCGGTTGACCCCTCGTTCCAGGAAGGATGTCACGGCAAGCTGCTCAGTGTGGCCTCAGCAGCGCGGCCCCCGGCCCCAGCCCCAGCCTACCTGGGTTGGTTGTAGCTGGCGAAAGCGATATGTCCTCCAAAGGCCAGGGACAGGGAGAAGAATATCTGGGTGGCCGCGTCCAGCCACACCCGGGGGTTCTGCAGGACCCGCATCTGGAGGGGGATGGGGACCCATGGTCCGCAGACAGGCCCCCAGGCCTGGTACCTCCTGGTCCAGACAATGCCCAGCGTCCCCAGGACACTCCCACGAGCCGTGTGCCCACTCAGGCCCCAAGACAGCTTAGGACCACGCGTGAGGAGCGCATGGGATGACACGGCCAGTTCGGGCTCCCTGCTTTTGATGCAGAAAGACCCCCAGGCCCCATCCACAGGAGGACGGCCCTCTCAGGGCTGGGAGTCAGATCCAAGGGGCGGCTCAGCTCCCTGCAGGCTGTGGGTTGGGCGGGGCCCCCTGCACACAGGGCCTGGTGTTCCCACTGCAGGACCCACAGACTCATCCACGTGCCCACCAGGGGGCCCGGCCTGGGAGACGGGGGGG